GCCCGAATCTGGAAAGTCTAAATCTGGTCTATGTAAGAGAAGAGAGAATATGGCTAAGGGGTGTGGCCACTGTTACAGGTTTACAGACAAGATGTCTACACTTATGTGACTCAGCCCCTGTCTGACTTCAAGGTCTCCAGAGCCCAGCAGCAGTTATCCGGAAGGGTCTTAGGCCCAGAGTCTGCTCACAGTTGAGCGAGGCCTCTGCTTTTAGAGTCACCAGGTTGAAATTGGGGTGCAGTCTGGCTGGGTTCACATCTGGCTCACCCGTGGAAGCAGCTGCATCCAAGCTCACATAGTCTGGTCACGGGAGACATTTAGATGGAGCCGAGGAGCGAAGGCCCCTCTTCCTTTGAATAGAGAGTCCAGCTGGTTCCTGGTCACCCCCGTCATATTCTGCCCAGGAGAACCATCCCTCTGCAGACCCCCATAGAGTAACTCTGCTAGGCGGGCATCGCCTTGCGAATGTGACCAAGGAGTAGCACCTTCATCACATCCCTTCAGTTAAAAGCAAGCCCCGCCACACTGCACATAAGGTGAGCATGTCGGCCACCTGCTTGACATGCTTCTGTGTGCCCCAGGATCCACTTGACTGGGCCACTTGGATTTTTTCCCCCTAAGGCCCAAAGTCATCTCGTTTCTCCTGTTTCCCTCTTCCCATCATCAGGTCCTCTTTGTCTGGCCAACAATCTCTCCCTTTCAGGCTGAGCCTGACTCAAGTGCCACACACCCCACCGCCACCAACCACCACAAGCTCTCACAGGGTCAGGGCTGTTCTGTTCCCTCTGGACCTCTAGGACTTGGAGTGGGGGCTGACACGGAAGTAGGTGTCCAAAAAAATAAATGTGTATAGGACGGGTGGAGATGGTTCTCAGTCTCAACAAAGGCTGCTTCGAATTGTGATTCTTCGGGTTAGACCGTTCCAGGCTGCTTCGAGTTTTGATTAGACGTTCCAGCCTCTTTCCCTTAGGAAAGCACAATGAGATGGTGTCTAACACCACACTAAGTAAACGGGACCATCTAACCCTTGCCATTGTACGGGAGCCTGTATGAAGAACAGAATTCCCAACTCCGCCTCTGCCCCCGAATCCTCGCTTGCTTTTTAATAAGACTGCAGTGTGATTTGCATAAATGTTGAGGTTTCAGAAGAGGCAACCAAAACTAGCCTTTCTCTTGGTCTAGATCTGGGACTGTAGGACAATGAGGATTCCACTACTCTGCTCCCGAGCCCCAGGGCCGGGCTTCTTGTGGGTTAGCCATCTTTGCTGGACATGTTCCTCAGGAGCCTTTCATCCGTGTTCTGGTTATAAAGCCCCTCCTGTTTCTGATGCAGACACCACCTCCAACTCCAAGTTGGGAGGAAGGACCAGAGTGGTGCCCGGCTATGGGCTGTGCACAACTTTCAGCGAGAACTGAAATCCAGTGGGTAATCTTGCTCATCTGTGGATGTGCAGGGGCCACCCCTAAGCAGGGGGATGTGGGCGCTGCTCTTCCTCGATTTGGTCTTGGGAATCAGGGTACCAAGGGCTCCTGGGAGGAGTACATGGGTAAAGAAAGAGAAGCGTGAAGTGGGTGTAATGACAACCGTCTGTAATCCCAGTGGCGCTGTTGTGACACCGAGGCAAGAGGACTAAGAGCTCCAGGCCATCCTGAGCCAAGCAAGACTGGTTATAAAAAAAAAAAAAAGGCGGGGGGGGGGGAGGTCCGGAGAGGAGCATTTGTTGCCTTTGCTGGGGACCTGAGTTTGGTTCCCAGTACCCATGTTGGCTTGGCAGCTCAATAATGACAGCCCCCTTTTGGCCTCCATGGGCTCCTTCATGCACATGCATACATGTAAGTAAAATTGAACACCTTAGCTGGGTGTTGGTGGCGCACGCCTTTAATCCCAGCACTCGGGAGGCAGAGGCAGTCGGATCTCTGAGTTCGAGGCCAGCCTGGTCTACAGATCAAGTTTCAGGACAGCTTCCAAAACAATAAAGAGAAACCCTGTCTTGAAAAACAACAACAACAACAACAAAAAAGAACACCTTTTAAAGGGGAAGGGAAGATAGGACAGAGATATCAAGGTGTAAAGGGAAGCCTTTTCCTTGAGAGAAGCCTTCCCACCAACCTGGTTCTAGAGCCGCATCAGTCCCAAATAAACACACAGGAGGCTATATGAATTATGAAGCTGTTGGCCTTGCTTGTTTCTTACTGGCTAGCTCTGACTTAAGTAATTACCCCATAATTGTTAATCTAAGTATTTCTCTTACCGGAGAATAGTTCCGGGCTTCCTACCCCATGGTGTTACATCTTGACTCTCTGTGTTTCTCCTTCCCAGAGTTCTCCTGGACTCCTACTTCCACCTATCTTGGTTCCCTATTGGCCCAACAGTGCTTTATTGACATAATCACAGGACTTCCCACATCATCAAGGGATCTTTCTACAGCATCTGGGGAGGACACTTTTGCCCTCAGTGACCCGTGTCTCTTGCCATCTGACGTCCTCTCTAACTTACTAGGCAATGTGGGCCCTTGAATTCTTGGGCCACACTTCCTTATGGGAGAAGCAAAGAGAGAAATATATTGTAAAATGCTGCTGAAATTTGGCTAGAGGGGTATTCATCTCAGGGGAGAGTTTCTCATCTCTTAAAGTCCTGGGCACAGCACAGGCAAAAGAAACAGCAGCACGAGTAACCCCTCTAAGGTAGGGCTTTGACAAGTCACCAAGTCACCAGGTGTCACTGTCCTGACCAGGTGACGCTCAGGAGTGCTAAGACCCATGCATGTATTCCAGACACTCAGGAGAGTCCTAGCCATGGCTTGCACGGTGCCTCTCCAGACCCTGGCCCAGGATTGAGACAAATACCCTAACAAATGCAACTTAAGGGAGAAGGGGTTTATTTTGGCTTGGCTACATTTTGAGGGTACCAGCCATCGTGGCAGGGAAGTAGGTGTCACCAGAGATGCTGGCCTGCTAGAAGTTGGGGCTTGCGTGTGAAAATGTCCAGAGTTGAGAGGTCGGGACCAGTGTCCTCAAACTCACAAGATCATTCAGCCAATCCTCCCTACTTAAAGTATACCCATCCCCTCTCTAGGTGCTTGTGCCTGCAGAAGTGGGTAGTCTCGAGCATTTGTGTGAGGAGGTGTGTGAGCCCACTACCTGGCTGGCTGGTGGATGTGGCCTTCGGGGAGTGGCATGCAGGACAGAGTTAACTGCTGGATAAAACTGTTTGTGGAAATCTTGCCAGAACGTTCCAGCCCAGAGCAAAATGCCGCAAGAGGCAGGCAGCCCTCCTCTGCACACCCTCCTTGCTGCCAGGGCCGGATCTCTGCAGGCCAGCGGCAGAGGCAGGGTGACTTGCAGGTTTCCCTGGCAGACCAACCCTCCCTCCTAGTCTGATTGGACCAGAGAACAGTGTCCCCCAGCTGCTGCCGCCTTGAAGCTGGTGACGGGTAGTGGTCTAGTCTGACCGTGAACAGGGCTGTGGGTTCAGTGCCCCCACGCTTAAGGGTGTATCTCCCCCCAGCCCCCGCTGTCAGACAGGCCTCCTTCCCCAGGCTCTGCTTCCCCAGCAATCCCAGCTGGAGATGCAGTCTGCCTCAGAGGCAGACATCGGTTCATCGATTGGGTTTTTGTTGCTGTTCCAAAGCCTGCCGGGAAAGTCCTCAGGAGTGTCTTTGAAGGAGAGAGGTGACTCAGGTGGGAGGCTTTCGGGGTGTCCTGAATTAAGCTCCCATGGAGCTGGAAGGGGCTTCAGTGTACCCCTCACCCTGCCTTCACCCTGGACCCCTGGGATTATCCAAATGAGCGGGTCTCTCAGCATTGAGGGACGGTCCCCCTCCCTAGAAAGGGCATCCTAGAAGCAGGGGCTCTGCAGTGACCACAGATGGGGGCACTCCCTCTTCCTCTGCCTAACAGGCATGTTTCTCTCTTCTTAGAATGTAGATTATAAAGGCCATTTCACAGTTTTAAAAAATTAAAATTAAAAAAAAAGATTTGTATTGAGGATCAAGCAAGCGGCTTTTAAGGCGGCTTTGTGGATTTTACAAAGGGCTCACATAAATGGCTGCTAAATTTAGTGCCGCAGAGAGAAATGATTTGCATACCATGCACCTTCCTGGAGTCTTCTAAATAATTTATTCTACCACTATGTTTGTTTTGTATTTTTTTGGGGGGGGGGAGTACAGTCTCATGTAGTCTAGACCGGGCTCCAACTTGCTATGTAGTTTAGGATAGCCTTGAACTCCTTGTCTTTCTGCCCCCATGCCCCAAGTGCTGGGGTTACAGGCGTGAGCCACTGTAGCCAGCTTATGCAGTGCAGGGTGTGGAACCCAGGGCTCATGCATGCAACTCTCCCAACAGAGCCACATCCCCGGGGCTGATCCTATGTTGCTTTAGCAAATTCTGTTTACTGATGCTCTGCAGAAGAAACTCTCGTTCCCCCAAATTAAAGGGTCTTAATACGAAAGTGAGTTCTTACCCCAGCACCCTGTCTCCTGCAGCCACTGTTCTCAAAAGAAGCATGAAAACCCTTCTCCAGTTCAGTGGCTGAAGCGCTTGCACAGTTGTCAGGACTGGAAACTGTACAAATGCTGGTTATGTGGTCGCCGACCTGCAATTCTAGCCCCTGAATGTGAGGGCAGGGATCCCCAGAGCAAGCTGGCTATCCAGAGCAGCTTGACTGAGAGGCCCTGCCTCAAAGAACAAGGAGGGAGATCGGATATGGATGATTCCTAACACCACTTGGGCTCCACACGCACACCCCGCGCGTGTGCATACGCCCACACAAGTGGGAAAGTAAGCACACTCTCCTTTTGCACATCACGCACACACATGATAAGGACGGATCCCTCTCCAAGTGTGGACATTAAGAGGGTAGACTGGAATTCTATCCCAGCCGCTTGGTACATAAGCAGACCAGGAGGGGTCCCATTTTTCTTTCAGTAAATGAGCTTCAGCCAGTGGGCCTTAAGAACATCCAGGGAACTGTGTACCTACAACACCTTTCTCCTTGAATATTACACTTTGAAGGCTTTATTTTTAGTTTTCATTCCATGTATATGTGTGTATTTATATATAGCACGAATTCTATCGGCCCTAACAATAAAAACCGTGGAGTCAGACATTACGGGGTGAAAGCTGAGAGATCAGAGAAGCAGAGCAGCCAGCCACTAGTTCACCGCTACCGAATCCTCAGACTGAAAGCTCTGAGTTCCTGTCTCCTCCCACCTTATATTTCTCTCTCTGCCCAGCCATACTACTTCCTATGTCAACCTCCCTAGTGCTGGGATTAAAGGTGCGAGCCACCACTGCCGGCCTGGTCTCTGTGGCTAACTAGTGGCTAGCGCTGCCCTCTGATCATCAGGCAAACTTTATGTGTTAGAGCACAAACAAAATATCACCACATCCGTATGTAAGAGTGCAGCGTCTGAAGAGGCCAGAAGAGGGTGTTGGATTCCCAGGAGTTGGAGTTGCAAGCAGTTGTGGGCTGCCCAACATGGGTACAGGAACCCAACTTTGGTCCTCTGCAGGAGTCATCTCTCCAGATCTGACGTATTTGACAAGCTCATTCTTGAAGCTGGGTTGTGGCTCAGCTAGAATATACAAAACCGAAGGGTCTACCTGCCCAGTTGGAAAAAAGAAAAAGAATTAAAGAAAATGTTTCTCTCCCCCCTCCATCTACATACTGTGACCCCCATTGAGATAGGACTTGGCCTCAGTGTGCTGTTGAGAGCCAAATGGGCTGAGAGGCTTGACAATGATCTCTGTACCACCAAGTGTCAGGAGAGGACAGCCGTCGCTGGGAACAGTCAGCCTCGTCCGCCCACACCCGTCAGAACTGGGGCTGGCAGAGGCAGTGCGACAGCACTCAGAGAAGAGTCTGGAAGAAGGCAGAATCCATTCTTCCACACCAGCTGGGCCACTTAGGCAATTATCCTCATCCCAAGTTTATCTGCCTACGAAGTGGTCACAGTGACCTTCACTTCACCTGATAAATGCCCACGAGATGCCGCTCCCAACTGTGACATCTATGTCACAAGCACCAGATCTGTGAGTGAGACCTACGCCCCCCCTACCCCCGTCTAGCTAACCTGAAGCCCTGTGCTCTGAGGACTGAGCTCCCCTCTGCTTGCCCCTGCTGTGCCCGGCTGGCTCAGTCTCAGACCTGAGCACTACAGCAAAGCGCCCTTGACCTTCGAAGGTCCAAAGGTCCATCTGGGGTTCTTGTTCCAGCCTTCTCAGGGCTCCGCCCTCCCCTTGTCTAGTCACAGACCACCCTTTTCCTCCTTGTTAAGGTGTTTTTCTTCAACAGCAGGTTCAAGAGAGCAGGCAGCCGGGGGAGGACAGAGGCAAGAGGCCCCAGGCTGGGGGCGTTTTTGCAGCTCTGGGTCAGGTGACATGATGGCAGCCAGAGCCAGTGACACCCCAAAATCTTGTCTGTTGGTTAGCCGAAGGGAGACTGCCTGAGGATGCCAGACCCAATCACGCCCATTTTTCCCCAGCACCCAGTCTAAGCCCAGCAGAGTGGCAGCTTCAGAGAACACACCCTGCTCTACGGAATAGCCACTCAAGCCCGCTCCCTTTCCTCTACCTGGATTCAGAAACAGGAGCTGCGCCAACTTGGCGATGCCCCTGCGGGAAGGCGTGGGAGGTGGGGTTTGCAGTTATCTTGGTCCCGATATATAGGCCACCCTCCAATCCCCAGTGTGATGACTCACTGCCTCCCCCCCCGCCACAGTCCGATGAACAGCTCAAGCCATTAAGAAATGGAACAAATTACTAAAACAGGAGGGAGCGCAAGAGAAACCCGGGATTACATTTGCTCATTACTCATAAATCATAAATGATGCTTACTCTCACTGAATCTTGTCTTCATCTGCTAGACTTGAAAAAGATGACAGTCTCCCATGGGCAGAAGGGCAGGGGCTCAAGGGGGCCCCTTCCTGAGGGCCCCAAGGATGATGGGACGCAAGAGTTAGGCTGCTTTCTGCAAGGCGTTGGAACGAATTCAGTGAGCTGAAGCTGGGTGCCGCAGGATGTGCTTGACCTCCCAGGAAGGCTGAGTAGGACTGAGCCCCCGTTGACGTGTCACCTCTGGGAAGCACGGCGCCTCCGTGAGTGTGTGTTGTCTCTGTCGCCTGTGGACCCTGTGGAGCATGCTACCTCAGTGAGTCAGGACGCGTCTGTGGAACATGCAACCTACCTCTGAGCACGTGCCAGCCATACCGGCATGCCGCGTCCTCAGAGAATATTAAATTTCCAGCCTTGCGTCATCACTGGAAGGTGGCATACCTTCTCAGCTCGTGTCCTCTTTGATGGGTGTGCATGGTGACAGAGAGACTCTTACTCCCCTTTTTATCCGTGTTGGAGACAGGGCAGGCCTGAGCCTCTGTGTGGCCTGTCTTAACCACATGTACCTAACTGCAAAGGAGAACCACCAGACAATATACTGCCAAGGATGCCAAGATCCCTGAGCCCCAGCTTTCCCTGCTCTTGGCTGTGATGGCTTCTTGAAGGTCTCTAAGACTTGACCAGTGAAAGGAGAAAGAAACATGGACCTTAGTGTTTGGGAGGTCTGACAGGTTGGGGAGCTGGGAGCTCTGTCAGTATTGTGGAAATGGACACAAGAGGAGATCTCCCCCTGCTGGTCATAGCTGGGAAAAGCACATCCATAATCTGGGTCCAGGTCAAGCATCAGGGAGGGACTCAGAGAGATTGCTGGGGTTATGGGCAGACTTCTGGCTTTGGAGTCACCCGGCCGTGTGGCTCTGTGTGATCCTGCTAATTCATAAGCAATGTGCGAGGAAGCTCCAGACAAACAGTGGTGTGATTCTGGAACTCTCTCTCTCTTTCTCTCTCTCTCTCTCTCTCTCTCTCTCTCTCTCTCTCTCTCTCTCTCTCTCTCTCTCTCTCTCTCTCTCTCTCTCTCTCTCTCTCTCTGTGTGTGTGTGTGTGTGTGTGTGTCCCCGACATCTTCCCTGCACTCCAAGACACCAGCTATGAACTGAGACAAAAGCAGGGAGAGTGGAGGTGAGGGGCAGTGCCCAGAGTTTCGTCCACAGATTCTTGCATTATAGCAGCAAGGGACACACCCGTGTACGGGTGGGGCCCCTTAGCTTCCACACCATGCAATGACCCTGGGCTCACTTGAAGTGGCGTCTCAGGGAGTGACCCGCCAAAGCAAGTTCCCAGCCAGGACTCCATCCAGTCTAAAGAAACGTGCTACACTCACATCTGAGTCTGGGCCCATTGTGTGTTGAGGGCTGGGGTGCTGGCATCTTACCTGCAGCCAAAGTGGCCTTCGTGGCAACCCCCCCCCTCCCCCGTGGTCTTACCACACAGCCCTGGCTCCTCTGACGTTCAAACGGGGAGCAAGGTCAGCTTTTTCCACACCCTCCCTATTCCGGCTCATCTTGTGCACTTGTATTCTGGGAGCTGATCTCTCCTCACCCCTGCCTCTTGCTTCACTGTTCCCTAGATGAAACTCCAGTCTCAGCCAAAAGGGCACAGCTCCTAGTGAAGCCAGGAGTCAGAGCCTCTCCCTCACCACGCTCCTCCACAGACAGCCTGCTCTGTGGCCTGCCGACACGGCCCTCGCCTGTCAGCAGGGCTCACTGGGTCTCCACAAGCCACCCCAAAGTGACACGGATCTTTACAGCTTTTCTGTGAGCTCCCGCCCCCCCCCACACACACCGTTCCCTCCCCCCTGCATGCTTTAGAAAGTTAATGGGAGAAAAAGAAGACTTAGAAGCCCCAGCCGTCGTAATTAACATGCAGAATGCTTTTCTGGCAGTGCACAGGCCGTGGTAAATCGGGAAACTTCTTAGCACAACATATATTTAATCTGTGGCACTCGCTTCCACATGAAATTCAATCAGATATTTTAGGGAGTTAGCAAGGACTCTCAGATTCAACTACGAAGAAACGCAGGTGCAACAAGCACACCTTTTTTTATTTTTAAAGCTATGTCTCATGCTGGCCAGGCTGGCCTTGAACTCATGTAGCCAAGGATGGTCTTGGGCTTCCAACCCTCCACCATCCACCTCCGTCTCTAACACTGGGATTACAGGTGTGCACCATAACACCCAGGTTTCTGCAGTGCTGCGGATGGAACCCTGGGCTTCGCACCTGCTGCCTAAGCACCCTCAGGCTGCAACCTCAGTCCTCCCGGAAATGCTGCGTGCCAGACACCAGGGAGGTGATTGCTGTCTAGTAATGGAGTCTGGATGATCATTTCCCAGCTCACCATGGAGCTCACGCTCGGTATCGGGAGAAAGGCAAGGATAAGGCAGGGAAGCAGAGTAGCAAAATCGCAGCTGTGTGAAGTAATAAGGAAGGAGGCTTAGGCCAGTCCTTTGTGAGGATTGGCTGTTGAGGTGAGGCTTGAAGTATGAGGCAAGGTTATGATGCAACAGAGGTCAGAGGACCCGGTCGCGCCCAGCACGGGTGGACGGGAAACCCCCAGCAGCATGGGTTGCTGAGGTGAGCCTTCCAACAGATTCTTTTTCTAGGTTTAAAGGTTCTGTTCACTACAGACCTGGGAGGGAGGGTTTGTCTGACTGCTGGGGTGAGCAAAATAGCTCACTACAGGGAAAAGAAGCTAGCTGCCCCTCACATCATACCCAAGTGGAAAGATCCAAGACCTCACAGCACGAAAGCCAACAGAAATTGGAGCAGCTAATCGGAGGGAAGAGAGGGGAGGAGAAGAGGATCATCACATAGTCTAAAAAACCACAAATCACAGCCCAGGTGAAAAGTCGGATGAATTGCGCTGCGTTGAAATGACGGATTCTGTTCAAAAGTGACGCTGTTGACAAAGAGAGATGCCAGGTGGGTGCAGACAGCAAGAGATTAATGTGCAAAATAAGGGCGGATTACATGACACAGGAACAGATCCAGCTGGCTGCTTATTTTATATATATATATATATATATATATATATATATATATATATATAAATAAAGTTTTATCGGCTCACATTTGCACTCATTCATGTCTGTGTTACCTCTGCAAAGCTGCAGAGCTGTAATACAGACCCACAAAGCTACATGGTATTTACTATGTAGCCTTTTATGTGAAAAATTGTATCATCCCCTGCCCGATGGGGGAAGGTAGTGAGGAGGAGATACACTATAAAAGTTGTCTGCTAGGGGATGGAGATGCGGCTCCAGTGCACCGGCTGCTCCTCCAGAGGACCGGGGCTCGGCTCCCAGCACCCACAGGGAGGCTCACAACCTCCTCCAACTCCGGTTTCAGGGGATCTGACACCCTCCATTGGCCTCCGAGAGCACCAGGCATGCACAAGGTGCATACATGCACACAGGCAAAACACTCGTTAACACAGAACAAAATAAATGTAAGAAAAAAAATTTAACTGGCAGCTCCATCCTGGTGGTGTGTGACAAGGGCAGCTTGACGTTGCTGTAACTGAGCCTGGGTCCCTCGGAAGCCGGCTGTGTGCTCCCCGCGTCACGCCCAGCAGGGCTACAGCTTGCTCCACTCTGCCTTAAGATTAGAAGCTCGCATAGAATCGTCCTATCTTCCTTTCCTTGAGCCAGAGCCAATCTGGGATGGGGCAACACCTCAGCCTCGAGGGCTTTGACGGAAGACAGTGCTAACACACCCGTAAGAGGGCAGAGTGGAGAGACTGCTGTGGAGCAGAGTATGGCTGTCATCAGACCTGGCCCCAAAGCCAACCAGCATTTGGACCCCCTGCTGAGTCACCTAGAGTGATTTGAGGCATTTTATATATATATATATATTTTTACTTTTAGGTCAAGGCATTGGAACCAACAGAACCACCCCCCCCCCCTTTTCTTTCCTTTTCTTGTCTTCGGAGATTGAGCCCAGAACTTCTTGCACACAAGGCAAACACTCCACCCTGAGCAATATCTCCGGCCCCAACAGAAAATAGGATTTGAGGGCTATTGTAGCTTCTCTTCTCATCTCTGTGGCCAAGTATCTAGCAAGAAGCAGCTTGAGGGAGGAAGGGGTTCCTTTTGGCTTACAGTTTGAAGGGATGCAGTCCTTCATGGTAGGAAGGCGTGGGGCAAGCAAGCAGGTTCTGGGCAGAGGTAGGATGACAGGGAAGGACAGGGTTAGCCTCTTTGTCTATATCTCTGTGGACCAGGAAGCAGAAGGGGGACAGGAAATGGGGCCAGGCTGTAAACCTCAACATGTCTCCTCTTTGTAGAGATCCACTCCTTCCAACCCCAACCCACAAGGTCCCACAACCTTCAAGATAATATCACCAGCCAGGGATTAAGTGTCCAAATACATGAGGAATGTTCCACGCTCCAACCCTAGCAAAAGGTGAAGGCATCTGTACCCAAAAGAAAGGAGGAAGGTGACAAGCACGGAGGAGACAAGATTTGCCCTCTTACCCCAGACACACACACACACACACACACACACACACACACTCACACACACACACCTGAAGTCAGGTAGACTAGCCTGGGGAGGAAGAGGCAGGGAGGAGACAACTGAGGAGGGGTCAACACACCCTTGCAGTGAGGACTCACAGCCTCCAACACACCCTCGAATGCTCATGGGATACAGAACTGACTTAGGAGGGCGGGTCCCTAGAGTAGAGATGGAGTGTGCTGTGGAGGTCGTATTTCCAGGGTATGGTCTATAAGTACCTCCCTACCACCTACAAAAATATAACAGTTAAAAAAAGTTTTTTAAAAGATAAATATTGAAAGAAAGAAGAGCCAAGTGATGGTGTGGTCCTCACTGGAGCCTCTAGGAAAGGTTGTGATGGTGTGGCCTCCCCCCACTAGAGCATCTAGGCCTTTCAGGGTTGCTCCCTGTTAAGCCAGGGAGAAACTTTTACATACCTTCACATACTTCCCCAATCAGTTGTTAGCCATGGCAACCCCAGGGAGGAAGGGCCACTCCCCTCCCTCCCATGGAGAGATGGCATCTCCCTTTGAGCAGAACAGTTGTTGACAGGGCAAGCTACAAACGGAGGCCCAGAGAAAGGGCGTGGGGAAACCATTTCACCGGGTGCCCTTTACCCCCTCTAGCAAGGCAATGAAGGAAGTGACAAGAGGGGTCTGAGACGTGCCAGAATGGGCAGGGACAGTGGCACAGTGACAGCAGACCCTACTGCATCAGAAGGCCACTGTGGGCAGAGGCGGCAGGAACCAGATGCCCTACCTAGCACCGCTGGAGTCTGGACCCTGAAAATCCTCTTCCCCTCCACCGTGGGGCTCCGTGACAGAAGAGACCCGGAGAGGCAGGATCCCGTGGACTCCCATTCCACCCATATGTAACCATCGCGTGCGCTCCCACCCAAGACCATTAACAGGACACATTGTTAGCAAGTTCATTAACCGTGGTCCCTTCCGTGCTTCCACGGTCAGCTACAATCCCGGTGGTTTAAAGGGAAGCCTCCCCCACTTAATTACAGTGTCTAGCAATTAACAGTTCATCAGCTGCCACAGCCTTTCCCTGGCTTCTATAAAAGACAAAGGGCTTGAATTCCACAAGTGTTCTCCGCAGGGGTCTTTGACTTGGGCAGAGAGCCATGCAGGGTGTGAACAAGACAGTCATGTTCAGTGTTGGCAGAGCAGTCAGGTCAGAGCTTCACCCTGCGTTGCATAGTGCAGGGGCGCTCCTACCCTCCCTGACAACACAGAACTAGATTCCAAGGATTTTTTTCTGCAGCACCGCATGCTCTGCCTGCTGCTGGGTGGACAGGCCTGTTTTCGTGGATGCTGTTAACAGCTTAGCCCCAGCCTCGAGGTCATAAAGACCATTTGTCAGTGGTTTCCAGGTGCCAGGTAGGACAGCTGGGTGACACTATAAAACACCCCTTACCTTCAGCTTTCTCACCTGCACAATGAGAATAATATCAGAAGCCTCATTAAAAAAAACCCAAAGGACGCACTGTATGTGAGGTGCCTGGGGGGACCCCAGCCCGGGGACACTCAGACTCTTCTGCATGGACTAGACACTTTGAGAAAGCCTTACCGAGCTGGGGTGAAGGCTCAGTCAGCAAGGCGCTGAGTTTGATAATCCATATCCACATAAAAAAAATAAAGAAATAAACTCACACAACAAAGGTGGGTGCAGCGGTGCACTCTTGTAGTTCCGGTGCTAGGCAACAGGATTCCCGGGGTTCGCTGGTCAGCCAGACTAGCCAAGTTGATGAGCATTGGTGTCAAAAAATAAGGTAGAGGGCCGGAGTAATTGCTCAGTGGCAATAGCCTGTGTTGCCCTTACAGAGTTAGGCTACCAGCACGGGTGGTCACACACCACATCCTGGAACTCAGACGCAGGGGATCCGATACCCTCTCCCGGCCTCCAAGGGCACTAGCACACATATGGCACATACACGCACAAACACACCCATATAAATGAGGCGGAGGCCCCCCCAAACACTGACCACACACATGTATGTACTCACACCAGCGCACACAGGAGCACACATACACACATAC